AGTATAGTTCACATAGAATGTCACATTAGTTTCAGGTGTACAATACAACAATTCAATAATTCTCTACATTACCCAGGGCTCGTCTGGTAAGTGTGCTCTTTAATCCCCCCACCCTCCTCCCCTCTGGTAACCATCAGTTTGTTCTCTATAGTTAAGAGTCTGTGTTTTGGTTTGTCTCTTTTTCTCCTTGTTTGTCTGTTTTGTTTCTTAAAGTCCACATAGAAGTGAAATCATGGTATTTGTCTGTCTCTGACTGACTTCTTTCACTTAACATTATACCCTCAAAGTCCATCCATGTCGTTACAAACGGCAAGATTTCCTTCTTCGTTATGGCTGAGTAATTATCCATTCATCAATAGGTGAACCCTTGGGCTGCTTCCATAATTTGGCTATTGTAAATCACATAAGTATAGGGGTGCACCTATCCTTTCGAATTAGTGTTTCCGTATTCTTTGGGTAAATTCCCAGTCGTGCTATTGCTGGGTCATAGGGTAGTTCTATTTTTAATTATTTGAGGAAGCTCCACACTGTTTTCCAGAGTGGCTGCACCAGTTTGCATTCCCACCAACAGTGCCTGAGGGTTCCTTTTTCTGCACATCCTCACCAGCCCTTGTTGTTTCTTATATTTTTGATTTTAGCCACCCTGACAGGTGGAGGTACTATCTCATTGTGGCTTTGATTTGCATTTCCCTGAGGATGAGTGAAGTTGAGCATCTTTTCAGGTGTCTCTTGGCCCTTCTACATCTTTTTTAATGCACAGAGACCTCTTTGCATGTCGCAGTTAATGTTTCAGTCACACAATGGACCCTAGAAGAAGCCTTCAAAAAGCTGCTGGGTGAGAGCCCCCACTCCCTCGTCTGATAGTCACAGAATTCCTGCCCTTGGAGACATCCTGCCTCTGGGATTCTGTCCCTTTCTGTGTATCTGTGCCACTCACCTGCTCTGTTGCTCCCACCCTCGTCATATCTTTATTGCAACTTCTTAAAATACACCATCTGGGAGAGTAAGTGGTGTTTCCGTCCTCTGGCATTCAAGGACTTGTCAGAACTCATTCATTTCAATCAGGAGAGTAGTTCAAGGAGGAGTGAGGTGCATGTGGGACTTACCCTCGTCATTCAGCAGCATGTTTGTGAGGTTTATTATCTCACGGCATTCCAGTCGTCTTCATTCAAGTTAACTGCCGTGTAATTTACTAGCACTTCCTTTATATCAGGCACCGTTCTAAGTCTTTGGCATATCAACCCACTCAGTCGTCACAACAGCCCTCTGAGGTGAAAACTATTGTTATCTCCATTTACAGAGGAGGAAACCGAGTCACGGGAAGCTCAACTAACTTGCCTAAGGTGATACAAGCAGTAGTTGGTACAGCTGGGATTAGAACCCACTCTGACCCAGCATCTGCACACTCGTCTTTTTTTTTTTCCTTTTTTATTTTAATTGAAGTATAGTTAACACACACTGTTACATTGGTTTCAGGTATAAAACAAAGTGATTTGACAAGTAGAAATACTCTATGATCTGGTATTCCACTACTGACTATTTACCAAAAGAAAATGGAAATTTTCTTTTTTTTTTCCAATATATTAAATTTATTGTCAAACTGGTTTCCATACAACATCCAGTGCTCAT